GCTAGTTCCTCCTCAGAGAGGGACAGGGGGGTCTGAGAGTCTCTGGTGACGATGATGACAGAGGTCCTGCGGGATTCCAGGACATTGGCCACCACCACCTGGTGCCGGTACTTCTCCAGAGCCTGCCGGGATTTGTCGATCAGGATCTGGGGATCCGTCTCCAGCTTGAAGGAAATCACAAAGGCCTCAGGGGCCCAGTCTCTGACCAGGGGGGACAGCATTTTTGGCACCATCTTCATTGTGATCTGGGAAGGACAAAAAAAAACCCCCATCAGTCAAAACGTCACAGTGAGTTTTAGTAAGAGAGGGAAATTCCAGCTTTGCTTCACGTCGTGTTTGCAGCGGGAAGTTCTGCAGGGCAGTGTTTGATCAGCCCTCAGCAAACAAGGCTCAAATGTCACTGCAACGCTCTGTAAACTTAACTTAAAGGATCAGTGAGGTGCCACCAACAAGCAGGGTGTAAATTCAATTCAATTTAATTCAACTCAATTCAATTCGACTCAACCCAACTCGATTCCATGCCCAAAGTGGTACCCACAAAAAGCAGGGGAGTTCTGAAGCAGGGCCACAGGAACTTTACATTCCCAGAGCTAAACCCCACTCTGGGAATATAAATATAAGCAGAGGAAGATTAAAAAAAAAAAAGAGCATTACAGCTTCAGAAGTCTGAGTTTTTCAGCTCTCTAGAATCCAGGCAGTTTATTCCACCTTCAGCTTTGCTTCTCTCAACTCCTTAAGGCACATGAGGCTTCCAAGTCCCAAAGCACAGGGGGGAAAAAAGTAGGAGACTCTGTTCTCCAGCTTCCCGTCACTGGGAATCAGGTTGGGTCCCACCTTTCTGGTGCTAATGATAAAGAAATAAGCCCAGAAGCTGATTAAATTAAATTAATTTGGTGTTTGTTACACACAGAGCTCTGGAGTCAACTGCTCCCATCACTGAGAGGGCAAGAGACGTGTGTTGGACCATCATCAGTGCAGGCAGGATGGATCCAGAGTCCTGGAATGGTTTGGGTTGAAAGAGACCTTAAAGACCATCTCATTCCACCCCCTGCCATGGGCAGGGAAACCTTCCACTAGCCCAGGTTGCTCCAACCTGGCCTTGGACACTTCCAGGGATGGGGCAGCCACAGCTTCTCTGGGCAACCTGTGCCAGGGCCTCCTCACCCTCACAGGGAAGGATTTCTCCCCAAAATCCCAGTCTGGATCAAGCCTCTTTTAGGTTAAAGCCATTCCCCCTTGTCCTGTTACTCCAGGCCCTTGTCCAAAGCCTCTCTCCAGCTAGAAGGCAGCAACTCAAGTACTCCAGGAGCTATTCTTAGAGCACTTCAGCTCCCTGAGACCCACCTCTCCTCGTCTCCATGGCAGCACAGACAGCTCTAAAGGACAAAGCCAGAAGAGCAGGAGGCATCTCACAGGTGCCCCTTCACATTCCACAGCACAACTGCTGATATGTTGGAGCTGCTGCCTCTCACACCCAGAAAGAGCAGTGCTGGACACCGCTCCCTCCCTGTGGATAACCCATGGATAACCCATGGATAATGCATGGCACCACTCACTGCTGGGGCTGGAGTTTGCCACTCAACCCCCTTCATGCCATCCTAAAAATAAACCTGGATCAAAGCAAAGCAGGGCTGACCCTGCCCTGCCCTTTATCTGGGCCCCTTGGTGCAAGATAAGAACAAAACAATGCAACTCCAGCATTTCCAACCCTGTGGAAAAACTCACCCTCCCATTCCCTCTGAGAACACACATGAGCCGGTGCTTTGCAGCTTTCCCAGGCTTTATCCACAGCCAGGTACGACCCTGGGAGCAAGGAGGGGGTGGCAGAGGAGGGTGGCAGAGAGGGGGGGCCTCACCTGCAGGGGCCCCTCCGAGGACTGGATCTTGTGCTCAGGCATTTCAGAGGCCGGGATGTAGAAATCGGACACGGCGGCTGCCAGGTAGAACATGACACTGGAGCCTGCGGGAAAGAGCTGCTGTCACCCCTCTGTGGGACTGGCCCTGTCACCCCTCCATGGCCTGGCCCTGTCACCCCAGGGACCCCAGAGCCAGCAGGGCCCCCCTCAGAGCACCCCCTGAGCAGGGCAGCGCTGCCCCCTCACAGGGGTCCCCTCAGACACACCATCCCCACTGGGGTCTGCCTTGCCCCATATAAGAGCTCCATTCATGCCAGAGCCCCACAGTCAACAGGGCCACCTTGTCACCTCACCCACCTGGGCTCTGGGGCCACCCTGAGGGGGCCATATTGTCCCTTCACGCCAGGGACATCCCCCCTCACCTGGCCCCCACAACCACCACGCCCCCTCATGCCCATGTCCCCCAAATCCCCTCAGGCCTGGGCCCCCTCCCGAGGCCACTCTGTCCCCTCACACTGGGGACCCCCAAAGGGGGCCTCATCCTTCTCTTGCCTTACACCCCCCACACCAAGGCCACCCCAGTTCTTCCCTGTCCCCTCACACCAGGGACCCTCCTGGGGCCACCTCATCCCCTCACACCCGGTGTCCCCCCATTTCCTCCATCCCTCACACTGGGGAGCCTCACAGGGGCCTCGTTCTCTCTTGCCTTACACCCCCCCACCTGAAGGCCACCCTGTCCCCTCATTCCTAGGTCCCCCCAGTTCTTCCCTGTCTCCTCACACGGTGGGGGGGGACCCTCCTGGGGTCACCCCATCCCTTCACACCTGGTATCCCCCCAAGTTTTCCGCCCATCCCCTCACACCCAATGTACCACCCAGCTCCCCCCCTATTCCCTCACACTGGGGACCCCTATGTGGGACCTTGCCCTCTCTTGTCCTTCTCCTGCCCCTCACCTGGACCATCCCATCCCATCCCCTCGTTCCCAGGTCCCCCCCACTCCTCCCTGTCCCCTCACACCAGGGACTCTCCAGGGCCACCCCATCCACTCACACTGGGAACTCTCATGGGGGGCCTCGCCCTCTCTTGCCCTCCTTCTTGGCCACCCCATCCCCTCATTCCCGGGTCCCCCTGGTTCCCATGTCCCCTCCTGCCTGGACTTCACCTGGTTCCTCCTCATCCCCTGTGTCCCCCCCATCCCCTCACATCAGGGACCCTCCCGGGCCACCTCATCCCCTCACACTGGGGACCCTCATGGGAGAGTTCATCTGCTCTTGCCCTGCTCCTGCCCCCCACCCGGGCCACTCCATCCCTTCATTGCCGGGTCCCCCGGGTTCCCCCTATGCCCTCTTAGCCAGACTTCACCTGATTCCTCCCCATCCCCTCAAACCCGGTGTCTGCCCCGTCCTCTCACACTACGGCAGGACCTCAATCTGTCTTGCCCTGCTCCTGCCCCTCACCCCAAAGACACCCCATCCCCTCATCCCCGTGTCCCCTTCACGCCAGGGACCCTCCTGGGGCCACGCCATCTCCTCACACCCGGTCCCCCTCTGTCCCTTCACACTGGGGACCCCCACGGGGGACCTCGCCGTCTCTTGCCCTGCCCCTGCCCCCCACCCCAAAGCCACCCCATGCCCGTGTCCCCCCTCGTCCCCCCCGTACCCAGCGGTGCCAGCGCCCTGGCCGCGGCGCGCAGCAGCGCCAGATACTCCGCCAGCCCGGTGAACTCGATGGCGAGCAGCGCTCCCTCTTCGGTGGCCCGGTGGTAGTCCCGGAGCGCGGGCAGCAGCGCGGGCAGGGCGGCGGGCGCCGCAGCCACGCCGGGCGGGGGGCCCGGGGTGAGGCGGAGCGCGTCCAGCAGCGCGGGGCCGTGCGGGGGCAGCGCGCGGGCCCAGGGGAAGACGGAGCGGGCGCGGTGCAGGAAGCACACGCCGTAGCCGAGCCCCACGAGCCGCTCGGCCGAGGCTGCCCCGCGCCGCCCGCTGCTGAAGTTCTCCAGGAAGCGCACGGCCCGCGCCTCCAGCGGCACCTGCGTCCCGCCCGAGGTCACCAGCGCCACGCGCCGCCCGCGCGCCGCCTGCGCCGCCGCCCACGCCCGCACCCGGCGCTCGACCGCCAGCGCCGCCGCGTCCTCCGCGTCCTCCTTCTCCCCCTTCTCCCTTCCCGGTTCCGCCATGACCCGCCCGCCGGAAGTGAATTGGTCTCCTTCCTGTCATCACCGGAAGTGTTGTCTTGGCAACGCCGTCGCTGGCGGGTTTCACCCCGGAAGTGTTGCCTTGGCAACGCCGACGCTCTCGGACTTCACCTCGAAAAGCCGCGGAAGACGCTCTCCAGACTTCGTTTTGAGGACATAAAGCCAAAAAAAGCACACACGTTTATTGCAGCGCCGGGTGTGTCGGGAAGGATTCCCCAGGACGCACCCCGAATCGCATAGGTTTCATCAATTTAGACAACTTCCTAATTACAGATTCAAGGATTCCCTCACCTGTCCCACTCCATTTCCCCCCTCGAATTGCTTGTTTTACTCTTGACACGGTTTCCTTCCTTCTGGACCTGGTTCAAGGCCTAAACCCAGTCTTGTCTTGTCTCCTTATTCGCTTTTATCACTCTCTTCCCCAGGTACTAACAGTTGTTTTAGTTTCCCAACTAAAACACTGTAGACTCTTTCATTCACTTCCACAAGTACTTTGAAATCGTTTCTCTATTTCTTTGTTGAAATCACTAATCTCAGATGAAAGGTCACAGAACACTAATTGACATAAAAATGTAGGTGATCCCTGCCTTTGTCAGAGGCAGAATTAAGACTTTACTAATAAGATGTAGAGGAATAGTGCGTCAGAAAGGTACAAAGAAATGAGTATAATTACACTTGAGGAAAATCCGGGTGTAGTATGAAGAATCAAAGGAAAATGTAGACAGTCAAACCAAGCAGACAGCTGTCAGAACGACTGGAAACAGCTCAGGATTTTTGAAGGATACAAAAATAACATTCCCGTGTCTTACATACGGAATTAACGCCATAGAGGGACGTTATGCGTACATAGCACAACATAAAAGCAGCTTTTAGACTTCTAGTGGAGAGAACTGGAAGGGAAAACCGACTCTAAACTTAATTTTTCGCGGGCTCGTGGGCAGCGATGCCATGGCAACGCGGGACGCTCCCGCACGGGGGAAGGGACCGGGCCGAGCATGGCGGGGCGGCCTCGCTGCGAACTGTGCGGGAGCCGCCCGGCCCCGCGGCTCTGCCCCCGCTGCCGCCTCGTCCGCTACTGGTGAGGGACCCCCGCGGCTGGGGACGGGGACAGGAGACAGGAGGCAGCCATGGGACGCGGGAGGGAGACGGGGAGAAGGGCCGGGAGGCAGGTACGGGCCTGGGAGCAGCCCCGGGACGGGGCTCAGGACACGTAGAGAAGGCTCAGGATGAGACGCAGGAGGCAGGAACGGGCACGGGACGAGGCTCAGGACACTGGGAGAGAGCCTGGGAGAGGCTTAGGACACTGGGAGAGAGCCTGGGGGAAGGCTCAGGACACTGGGAGAGAGCCTGGGAGAAGGCTCAGGACACTGGGAGAGAGCCTAGGGGAAGGCTCAGGATACTGGGAGAGAGCCTGGGAGAAGGCTCAGGATACTGGGAGAGAGCCTGGGAGAAGGCTCAGGACACTGGGAGAGGGCTGGGAGAAGGCTCAGGACACCGGGAGAGACCCTGGGATAAGGTTCAGGACACTGGGAGAGGGCTGGGAGAAGGCTCAGGACACCGGGAGAGACCCTGGGATAAGGTTCAGGACACTGGGAGAGAGCCTGGGGGAAGGCTCAGGACACTGGGAGAGCGGCTGGGAGAAGGCTCAGGACACTGGGAGAGCGGCTGGGAGAAGGCTCAGGACACTGGGAGAGAGCCTGGGAGAAGGCTCACGATGCTGGGAGAGAGCCTGGGAGAAGGCTCAGGACACTGGGAGAGAGCCTGGGATAAGGCTCAGGACACTGGGAGAGAGCCTGGGAGAAGGCTCAGGACACC